ATACAAACATGTTTGTAACAAAATAAGGAAGAAATACTTACAACGGTTGCAGTCATTGATTCTGCAATTGGTCACACACTAGTAGCTGACATTTACAACTTCCTTCTCCCACTAGGCACTCCATGTTCCCTTTTCCAACAGCAAGCACCTCAGATGGTCATCGTTGTTTGCCTGGGGGAGTGATCCAAACCCTTATTTCTGAAGAGTCTGGGCCACTATCAGGTTTGTTACAGTTCTCCATTAGCTTTAATCACAGGACATGGGAGTACTGGGAGATGCCGACCTAAGGGCCTCCTGCATTCTAAACATAGTGTCCCTTACCTCCATTGCAGAGTAGCAGTTCAATTTCCCATTGATGATTAGGACCAATTATCCCAGCCAGTACAGTAACTCTCTTCTCTGCCTGTGAACTCAGAGACATGAGGATCTTAAAATGGTCAGGTAACAGCCTCAACTTCCAGATCAATGGAAGTATTATGGTGTCTTCTGGTAGAATTGCTCTTAACTTTGGACCTAAGACTTCTAGATCCACAATGCTCAAGTTCATGGGGACGGCAAGCAAAACTCCCGATAGTCGCTCCCCAGGAGTAATGGGGAGTGGAGTAATTTGCATCACTTGATTTTATCATGTTCACCCCTTGATTCCAGAACCCATGAATCCTGGCTATGGGGGAAGCAGTACCATATGCTAGATGCAAACTTACAGCACATCCAACCTCCCGGAGGAAAATGCTTCAGTCCTGGAAGGTATTGCCATGTAGCTGGTACCATCTCTGAATTTTTAAAAGGCCCTTCTGACATTCTATGAAGCAGCTACTTCAGGATGCTGAGGAACATGAGAAGACCAGCGAATTTCCTGAACATGGACCCATTATTGCACTTTATTTGCATGAAGTGAATTTCTTAATCAGAAGCAATGCTGAGTGGAATACTGTGATGGTAAAAAAAGGCATTCTGTATGTCCATTGATGGTAGTTTTAGCAGAAACGTTGTATGTAGGGAAGGCAAATCCACACCCAGAGTAAGTGTCTCTTCCAGTAAGAACAAAGCATTGCCTCTTCCACAATAAATGCAATCCAATGCTGTCACACCACCACTAAGGTGCTAGCTGATCACTGCAGGCAATGGTGCTATATCAGGGACTTGGTATTGGTTTCTCTTTTGGCAGATTAGCCACTCAGCAGTGGCTGTAGTCAGTTTAGTCTTGGTGAATGGAAGTCCATGTTACTGAGCATTTGTACAGCCCCTACCCCTGCCACAGTGGCCACTATGCCCATGAGCCCATTCCGTAATGACAGTACTGGCTAGCATAAGAAGCTGACTGGTAACCAGAGAATAGACTGTCCTATCCACTTGATTATCGAAATCCTCTTCTGCTGAGGTCATCCTCTGATTAGTATTATTATGGGACACAGATATCTTTACACTCTTTGCTGTCAAAAAGGTTTTTCCACATGCCTCTTTCCAGACTTCTTTGTTACCAATTGTATAATCATTTTGTTTCCAAACCACTGGCCGCAGACCATATATCTATATAGACTTTTACCTCTGTCATTTCCTTTTCCAGTGTACCTCCAGGTTCTCTGTTTGAAGTTCTGCCCACTGGGAGAAATTTCCTTCACGACAATCTTTCAAGTATGTCCAGAAAGGGGCTGCACTGCTGTTACTGTCCACTTTTGGATAGTGCCTGAATATTGTGCAGAAACATCTGTAAATCAGGCCCAAGTTTGATCTTCCTCAGTCAACTAGTCATGTGTGTGTGGTGGAGGGGGAAGGTGTATATATTTGTGTGTGTGTGTGTGTGTGTGTGTGCATATGTATGTATCTATTCATTCTTATTTAAAATAAATTAGTATACAATAAAACCAAAAATATGTTTTTTAAACAGTTATGCTACATCTTTCAAGGCAGCTAAGGCTAGCATGTGTATAAAAACTGTGTATTCAAATTCTTTAAGTCTCAAAAAGTACAGTAGTATGTACAGTACTCTTTCTCAGTACGTTTAACACAGTCCATTTTTTTCTCTTCCACTAGAGTAGATCATTTCTTTGGTTGCTCATCAGATAATTAGCTTGCCAGGAAAGCAGCTAAGACCATGTTACGAGATTTGCATATAGATCTCTAAACACTGCAACAACAGCAAAGCAAGACACTCACCAAATGACAGCCATGAGGGAACTGAGACCTTTAGATAGAAGAGCAAATGTCTACACACCCATCTCAAGCTCTAAATGAATAAACACACCAATCAACCAACCAACGCAGAGTAAGGATCATTTTCAAAGTCAATACCAAACTGTATTTCAACAATAATAACTGTTTATTAACACTTACTCTCTTTCAAAAACATGATAGGTTCTGGGGCTATAAAGATGAACACTATCTTGTCATTGAAAACATTCTATATCCAAGATAAAACACATGTCTTTGACCTTAAGAAGTTTTCATTCTGAAAGATAGGAAGAATAATTACTAACAGTGTATACTGAAACCTATGTAAGCATAACAATCTATACATAAACCATATATATGTATTTGTATATTTACAATGAAATAGGAGCATTGCTTATATCTTGCTGATCATTTAACTTAGAATAATAGCATAGTAACAGTTATCAAAAAATATATAGTGTTAATTTTATGCCAAACAATGAAATACATGCTTTTCCTCAAATGCATTAGCCATTTAATAGTTCCAGAAAAACCTATGTTTGTTATCACCATTAAGCAGATGAAACAATTGAGACTAAAAGACGTCACTTAACCAATGTCCCCATACTACTATAAAGTAGAGGTGGATTTCTGGTTTGAGTCTAAATCTTATGCTTTTATCCATTAAGCAAAGCTTCTTATGGAGAAATAGCAAATAAACATTCAATCCCTCATCGGTAAGAACTTTATGAGGTGATCCATTTGCCTTAGTTATACATTCACAATTTATATGGTGTAAACAATAAAAATGCTGGGTTCAAGTTATGGCTTCACTAATGTCTGGTTGTGTGACCTTAGCAAAGTCATTTAACTTTGCCAATGTTCTCTACCTTATCTGTAAATGTGTTAAATAGTAAATAGCTTATATCATTGGCAAGTCTTAGACATTAAGTGTAGTATATATTGAAAAGGTGAACTTAAAGGTAAAATGTTATCGGCTTTCTTTGCAATGTTGCAAGAGGCCAAATGAAAATTAGAAAATAATAAGGAAAAATTTTGAAAATTCTTTATGTCAGTACTTTTTCCAGGAATTAATATCGTCATGATAAAATATAAAATCAAAAGAAAACAATTACAAAAATCAATAATTCCTGGAAGAATTTGATGAGGGAGTTAAAAAGACATCTGTTTGAAAGGCAAGTGAATGAACACGTATACTGACCAGGTGAGTGACGTTAGCTAAGCCTCAGTTTCTTCATTTTCCAGCTATAGGCTTGGGCTAAGTAATTACTAAATGCCTTTGCAGGTCTAACAGTTTATCCGAGGAGACCTCAGGATCCTCTGGCTGGGACACTGCCCTCTACCTTGATCAGAGCAGTTTAGAGAATCTTAGAAATATCTTCCACCCAGATGATCAAGTTGCATTTCAACCACAGAAACTCTAAAGACAGTGTGCCTTTGGTCTGGTTTTCTGAATTGAATTAACAGTTTTATAAAATACATCTTTCATTGACTTCAATACCAACCACTTAATCCCTGGAAATTAAACGAGGGAGTTTGAGTTTGAATTTCCCTGGTGTTACTGGTGTATGGAAAATCTTGTTACTTAAATCTCACTTTTGTGTGTTACATTGTAATTTTTAAGAGATCATCATAGCAATCTCCTTATTTCTGTTAACTCTGAAAATCCAAATGGGTTTATTTCTTAAATTGCTAATAACCTTACCCAGTCAGACAAATTATCAAGTATATGGACTACAGTTGAACACAAACTCTTTATTTGATGAAGGCAAGGAAAATACGAAGATTTCCATTTTGAGAGTAAAACTGCCAGGGTGAATTACTTGAAATGCAGTTCAACATGATGAAATGCCATAAATTATACTGAACATTTCTTTGTGTAGATATTCAGCTCTGTATGCTTTTATTGATAAAGCTGCAGCTCCCCCCACCACACACACTTTTTTTTATGAGGACTAACAATTACATTATCCTGAGAAAGAACTCGACTCCTTTATCTGACTACCCAGCCCTTACAGACAACTTATTGTCTTATACTAATTTTAGTAGAAAAAAAAACCTCTGCTGAGAAGTTCTGCCTTGTACCTTGTGTCCTTTTGGTCTTTGTAGTAAGAGAGCAAGCCATTTTACTCTAGTTAAAAGCAGGAGCCAAGGTGGAAAGTATTCTCAGATACAACGTAACAAATGTACTGCTGCATAAAGATGCTTTTCAAACAAAAGTCTGGCAGAGCTCAGGAATCAGAACAGAAGGTAATACAGAGTTCTACCAGGCTGTACTCGAAGCTCTCGAAGTGTGCTGGATGATTCCCCACACACTTTTCCCCAACTGGGCATGCGTTTTGGCAGTTGGTCTTCTGTTTAGGTTCTGCCATTTGATTTTTAGGGAATTGCTACAGTATACAAAAGTTAAAAAAAAAAAATCAAGGTTTTAAAGTTCCATATGTTTGAGTAAAGTCTTCAGTAGTGACCAGTTGCATTCCAAAGAAACCTGTTTGAAAGTTTGCACAAAACCTCTGTCTAGTCCGGGAGGAAAAAGCCTTGTTCCCTTTGCATTAGTCACTCCGTAAAAGATTAATCCTAATGAGCTACTTTCTACAGGCAGGCACACCCAGGCTTTGTATTACATACCTACGGTTTCTCAATATTTAGGCCAAAATGTGTACACTCAGATGCTGATAGATATCGTCTTTCCAGAAACCATTAACCACGGTATTAACTGTAATAACTTAGTGAGTTTAAGGAATGAGGCCAAGCAGTGGGGGAGTCACTGGGGAAACAGTTGTTCAAAGCAGTGTAAAAGAACACATTGATGGAACTTAGAATTCTAAAAAGAGAGCAAGAAGAAAACCCAGTCCACTCTCTTTTCATTTCATCTGTTCTACCCTGCCATCCCTCCCTCTGCTAGGTCAGCTTTCAGCAGGTAGTGCTGCGGGCTTAATTGATTTCATCAGTTAATGGCAGCCAGTCTGATGGAGGTTGATGTTTTTTATTCAAAGAATCGGTGTGAAGGTAGAACTTCTGATACCTTTGCCCACCATGGAAGGACCACCACCATACACAGGATTACTACACTGACCCGAGAGATTTCAGCAGTTCACTACTTTTGCACTATGACACAACTCCACTTTAGCCTGGCCCCAAGGAAACCTGTTGCTCTGAATACATTTCTAGGAGTTAAGGATTTATACTTATCTACCTTTATTCTAATGCAGTTCAAAAATTAAATTTCTTTTATATTCCATGACGGTTTTGCCTTATGAAAAATGGTTTTTTAATTTTATTTTTCTCACCTGTCACTTGAGACTTTACTGACTATTGAGACTGAGAAGACAAAGAGGCAAAGCAACTGGAAGAAATATAAAAATGGAGATAATGAGGGCGCGTGAAGCAGGGTGAAGCATGAATCCAGTCAGTGGCAGCACTCAGTGTGAATTTAAACTCAACCATTGATTGAGCTGTGTGTACAGCCATATGCACCGCACAGTGCTGGGTGATGTCCACTTAGCAAGCCAATCAATGACCCTCACCTTCAAAGACTCACATTTTAGTGAGAAGCAGATCAATAATATTTACTAACATTATTTTTGTAATTTTTTTGGTGACAAATGTGGCACAAAGTAAAGCACTTTATAGGCTATATCACTTTTAATCCTCACTACTTCGTATTATTAAATACTTACTATCCCTACTTTGTAAATAAGGAATCTTAGGCTCAGAAAATGTAACTGCCCACGCCAATAGATGGGCATTCTGGGAATCAAACCTAGATTTTCTAAACTCAGGAATTAAGTTTTTCAGGATTATGAGATCATGATTCACCAAGGATACAATAAAAATTAATGTGAGCCTGTTGGAATGAAGGCTAAAACAGAGGTAAGAAGTTCTTTGGGATAACAAAATAAGGAAAAATTAATTCTAGCTAGTTTAATTAGGAAGTTATAGATCCATGGCTGTGTCAATACCTTCAAGATGTTACTAAGAGTTTTGAATGTCAGTGTAAGATGTTTGAGTGTTATTTTCAGGAAGTGAGGTACAGTCCCATCATTTAAATTCAAGATGTAAAATGCAAGCAGAAGGGAGCTTTGAGATGAGGGCCTGCATACCATGATAGTCTGGGCTGTCCAGTGCAATAGCTGCCAGCCCACTTGGAGCTACCAAGCACTTAAAATGTGGCTAGGAAGACTGAGAAATTAACTGTTTAATTTAACTTCAATCACTTTAAATTTAAGTTTAAAAATTGACCTTCAGTTCAGTTTTCGGAAACTGTTTGTATGCATTTGAAATAAGTATGTCAGTCTAATTTTTCAACTGTAAATTTTATAAAATCTAAATACAGATCAAGCACTTTTGATGAATGCTTATTACAGATTGAGATATTCTGTAAGTGTAAAGTACATTTTAGATTTTGAAGACTCAGAAAATAAGAATGCAAAATATCTTAATAACATTTCATATTATTTCTGATATGTTGGAGTAAATACAATGTATTATTAATTTCACCTGGCTCTTTTAATTCATTTTTAAATGTAGCTACTAGAAAAATTTAAATGGCACATATGGCTCATATCATATCTCTATTAGACAGAGCTGGTTTAGTCTAAGGGCAAAGACTTTCCTACTTGGCAGAAAGTAGGAGAAACCAGTAAAATCTGGACAAAAGCCTCAGACTCTGTAAACTTAATACCAAGCACATTTTGTTTTGTAGGAAGTAGTAGAGCAATAGATGTGTACCTGTACCTGAGGTGGACAGCCTGTATAATCAAAGAACTGGACCAACAGAATGAGGCGCTAGGCCACATGAAGCTAAGGTAGTCATCCAATTCTAAGACTCGAAACAAGAAGCAGAAGTCACTTATATGCACACAGCCTTCCATTCTGCATGAGAAAATAAACACCAAACCATCAGCAACTGGTATGTACTTTTCAGTCATATATTTGGCTACATCTGTTCCATGCCTATTTCAACAGTCCCTCAAGCTGTAATTTGCCTTCACTTTTGATGGAATGCAACATACCTTTACCTGGTTTCTTAGGTACACTCCTTTGTTGGTGGCAGAAAGATTAAACCATGCAAGCCTTGGATCATGCAGGGAAACGTCACTTTAGCCCCTAGCCACCATCATAAAACCCAAGACAGTCTCCATTCCCTGCTCTCTCAACCATTTTCAGACCTGCTTGAGAATCTGTTTTCCCCAGGAATCTTCAATCCATGATGAATAAAAATTTTCATACTCTCCTGGCTTGTGTGTGTGGTACCATCAGTCATGATATCTGAGCCAAGTTTTGTGTGGGGAGTCCACTCACTACTATGGGGTGATTACAACAGCATATAGTCCTAATTGACAGCTATGTACCTTCTATGTACTGAAGATACTATTCCACTCTCTTAACTTTCATTGTTGCTATGATAATTCTGCTGTCTGCAGTCAGTATAATATTATTCTTTCAAATGTTTTTTCCTTGTTTTTGGCTTCTTTAAAGAAACTTCTTTTTTATATTGTGTTCTGAAGTTTCATTATGACATGTCTAGTTGTGAATTCAATTGTATTTATCATATTGAGGCTACTTTTACTTTCTGAATCTGATAATTTGTGTTCATACCAGTTTGGGGACAATTTCTCCATTTTCTCTCTTCTCTTCTTCTGGATTCCTTTGAAATAGTTCTCTTCCATGGCATCATTTTCTTTATCATTCTGTGCTATATTATAGGGATAATTTTTAGAGATCCAATTTCCTGTTTCCCAATTCTCTCTTTAGTTAGATTTAATATGTACTTTAAAATGATTGTTAGTTTTATATTTTCAATGATTATGGGCAAGAGAGTGAGACTCCACCTAAAAAAATTATCTTCTCTATTTCAATAGCTAATTGGTCTTTTCTTACTACCTTTAAAAAGCCATTCTCTCATTGTTTTAAACATAATTATTGTACAGTGTCTAAACTTCTTATGTGAGGGTAGGATGTGTATACTCCCATTTCCTGTGTATCATGATGCTTGCTTACAGAGAATTGTTTTCTTGTGTGTTTTGTAAATTCTGAATTAATAGCTCATTTTGAATAGAGATTTATCTGTGAGAATCATATTCAGCTTATTGAGAATTTATCCCTTCATAAATGTTTTGTGTTTGCTTCTACAAAGCATTCCAGTTTGGGCCAAAGACATGTAAATTTCTTTGTTTAAAGGGATCCTTGCTTACAATCATAGTATACTTTTGAAAGCACATTGGCCTTAGGGAAAGCAAGAGGTTATAAACTCAAATATGTAGTTCCCCCTTCCTCTTAGAGCGCATGTTTACTTTTTTAAAAGCACCCTTGTTGCTTTCCTATGCAAGTGGGCAGGGTTTTGAATTTATGCAGACCTGACTTATAAAGAGAGTCTCAGTCATACCTCTCTCCCTCTTTGGGGCTTCAAGGCCTGACTTCTTACTCCTGGACTGCTGAGAATGGTGACTCCGTCTCACTAGCACTAAAGCGTCAGCTTCAGCCCACTTCACTGCTAATGTTTCCTGTTCATTTTTAAAACCTGTCTTTTTTTTTCCTGACTTTCATGTTAGCTGGCCCATACATTTAAAAAGATTATGGTATTATAATATTTTTAATTTCTAGGTATTTCATAGGTGGGGCAGACATCAAGTTACCTTAGTACATCATTGGTAGAAACAGAAATCCACGGAAAAGATTTTCCTCCCTTTTGTTTCTAGTGTTGGAAAAACACTAGAATATGGAACATATCAAATTTTACAAGCTCCTGGATGCATTTGGAGTAAATAAAGGAGTGGCACCTCTTCACATTAACTTAGACCCTTTATGCTACAGAACAGATTTCTCTGATGCAAGATGGAGAGTAGCTGTGTTGTGTTACTATATGTGCATACTTACTCAAAAATGCATATTTATTTGTGTACATAAATGGATACATATATAGACATTGATATTTCACTTTGGAAATTACTGCTTGTCAGCGCCTACTTCTGTATTACCCAGCTGTGTTTCTTAATTACTTCCCCTGAGGGGTGATACTCACCATGGTTCCCAAATAGCCTGTATTTAGATCAGGCAATATGTGTTTCTCTCATAGCCCCAGTGCACTGAAACCTGGTCACTCCTTCCCTAACCATTGTTCTCAAGGTTTGGGTGCTACTTTTTTGACTAAGACCAATTGCCCTTATCATGACCATTGAACTACTGAGTTACTGCTTTTCCTCATGTGCCCAAGTTCCTAGACTGAGTTCTTTGTGTTTGCCCACTGTCTTGAAATCCCTATTCTGAGATCGTAGCCCTAAATGTGAAATCTGTTCCACTTTATTCTTGCCAGTGTCTCTTTCTAGGACATAGCACCTGCCATCAATTGGTGATAACATGATGGAGGTACTCCAACCGTGGTCAAACCTCTCAAAGAAATCTCCCAAGTATAACTTGCTTGGATTCTCTATGCACATGTGTTGCCCATTGACCTGGGGCCTTGAGACTTCCTCTTGGAAAACCTGGTACATAATATTTTCTGATTTGTGCCAGTCAAGTTCTTTGGACACCATGCCTTACATAGCTTTTCTGTGTTCATGAGAGTTACCATTAATACTTAACCAAGTTTCCAGATAAGTAATTATCAACTATTTGTATAAGGCAAATACAAATATTAATCTCTAGGAGTGGTTAAATGTTTATATTTACATATATATGTGTGTATATATATATACACCCACACAATCATATATATGCTCTTCATTTTACAAACAAAACACCCGATAGAAGATGGGCTGCCAAAATATTCAGCCAAGCTAATAATTTTGATATCTATTTGTGAATTTCACTTAGCTATTCATTCTTAAAATAGATTTAAGACCTTCATTCTCTTTGAATTTTTATTTTACAGTAATACAGTACACCATTTTTTCCATGATTATTCTTAATATGAGCATTCAATTCCTATTTTCTCATCAATAAATTAAAGTAACTATGGAAACTCTATAAGAAAAATTGACCACTTAAGATGTACAGCCTCAAAAAGTAGATATACTCAGTATTTTAATAATAGGGCAAAATGCTTATTTCAGTCTTCTATGAGTATGGTAAAAGATGAAGTTAGTAGGTGAGGGAATAGGACCGACTGGGATGGGAACATGGTGTCAACAAGGGTAGGAAAGAGAATGAGAGATGCATCGTGAGAGAGCAGGGGGCTGAGGAGAAAATTGGAAGAGAGTGAAGAAGGAGCTATTCAAAGAAAGGGAAGACAGGTTCTGCAAAGAAAGGACAGAAAGAATTGGGAAACATTTTCAATTATCGAGACAAAGGATCTGGGCAAACGCTTCTAAAATGGTAGAAAAGAACAAAGTCCCTGTAGCAGGGAAGGAGAGTCCTTTTTGGGGACAGCAGAGTTCAGAGGTAGAATTTGGTGGAGTTCTTCTGGCAGACATTTATTCAACTGGATCTTGTAAAATTTATTTCTGGAATTTAGAATTGGAAAGTTGGATGTAACAGAATATTTAAGTTAAAAAAAAGATGTAAAATATACCAATTGCAAAAATATGAAGTCAAGTCTTATATAACTTTTAAAACATTAATCTTATTTTTCCTCAGGAAATGATTATAATTCCATCCATAACCACAAGAGTGATTAATTTGAAATTAAAAAAACCTTCACATGCTCAAATTATTCTTAATAATATGGAGATAGAATGTGTTTTGTGGGAGTCAGAAATAAAAATAAGGTATATAAAAGAATGCCATCAAGTGGAAAACCAGCTGAGGCCTATTTCTTAAGAAGTCTTAATATCTGCTAAGCAGCCCACATAAAAGAAGCATGTATCTTAACATAGTTGTCATATTCAAACATATTAGTCATATTCGATGCATTTTTAAATATCACCATGTACTTTATGAATGTAATTCAGAAAAACTTTGCCAATTTTCACTTCCCTAATCTGCAAACCCCCAATTCTCACAAAGAACCCTGCAGTCTCCCTTCACTTCTCAGCAAAGATTTAATAGCTGAGAGCTCTATCGTGCTCTCACATTACTAAGACTTCATTACTTTTACATGCCACACTACAGGACACTTACTAATATACTATTAAGTATTATCATAAATAATTAAAATGCAACTACGCTTGACAAAATGAAAGAACAAAGTGTATTCTGTGTCGCAGTCAACTTGTGTGTATGTTGGCTGGAGTGAGCCAAGCACATATTTTAAAAATAGAAAATCAATTACTAAGAACAACCTCAGTTACTCTTAGCAATGGGCCTACCTCTCATTAGTGTGAGTTAGTGAGGTCTTTTTCTGGCTCCTACCTGCCAATTAAATCATATAACCATTATATCATTATCACTGTTAAATTAAAAAAAATCAGTACCAATAGAACTTTGTCTTTGTGCCAGCCTTGTTCACATAGCCATGCTTTTCATTCCTAGTTGATTCAGTATATTCAGCACTTTTTATACTCCCTCCCTCACACACCCTGAGGTAAGAATTTTCTATCTTATTAATTGGTCAACGTATATTTGGAAGCACACAGCATGTGGTCAGCATATATGAACAGAGTTCAGTGTATATATAAGTGTAATAGTCTTTGACTTCGAGGATTTTACAACACAATTTGGGTAACAAGATTAGCATAGAAGAAAAAAAGAGGCCAGGTGCAGTGGCTCATGACTGTAATCCCAGTACTTTGAGAGGCTGAGGCAGGAGGACCACTTGAGAGCCATAGATTTAGAAAATAAAATGTTTCATTTGGAATATCTTAGCTGAGCCACCTGATAAGAGAGTAAGTGAAACTTTTGGAGTATTATTTCTGTATCAAACAAAAGTATCACTTTTGTTTCTAGAAGATGTGGATCTGGACTTGGAGTCGTGTAGGGGGAAGCACAAAGTGTTTTGGGTTGCAGCTAACTCCCCCTGATACTAGCAGGAACAAGTTTCTTATTATGTTACTCTGCCTGCCTTAAGCCTTTCAGTGGCTCTCCATTGCTCTTTGGTTCGAGACTAGCCTAGCCCACAGGGTGAAACCCCATCTCTACTCAAAATACAACAATTAACCAGGCATGGTGGTGCATGCCTGTAGTCCTATCTGCTAGGGAGGCTGAGGCAGAAGAATAGTTTGAAAGCTTGAACCTGGGAGGCAGAGGTTGCAATAAACTGAGATTATACTCCAGCCTGAGTGACGAGTGAGGCTTTGTCTCAAAAAAAAAAAAAAAAAAGGAAAGAAAAAGTGAAAAAGAGT